TTTTCTCAACGTTTCGACAAAAATCTTTTGTCTTCGTCAGGAGAAGTAAATAAAAATAAAGCATTTGGCAAGGCGTTAAAAATTGTTCTGAGGTTTGCAAGGGCGTTCTCACGTGATTTTTCGAATTTAGTACATCTAAAGCGCGAGTCAAAAACAAATATTAAACTCGTCAAAGACGGGAAATAAAAATTTATAATAATAAAATTATAATAAATTAAGTAAAAATAAATAAAGTAATATGATAATAATACTCACAAATATTATTATATAGATTTCTAACTATTATGTCCAATTTTTTTTTATCTAGCTTATTAACTACTTTTAAATTTAAAAATGAAGCATATTGTTGCGGAATATCTTCAAAAGTATTTATAGTTCTTTTCCCAAATTCTCGGGATACCCATCCCTCTAAAAATAATCTTTCCTTTTTAAATTTTATATTCCTATGAAATATCTCAATATCATTCCAATCTGGCCTATGTCCTGAAAATATGCATGTTCCCCAATTTTGCTTAACGCCCTTCTCCCCAATAAACCCTGTTGGTGTTCCTTAATTCTGGTCTCTAAATTTCGGCCGGTTTCTCCTACATAAATTTTGTCACATTCTGTGCATTTAATCCCATAAATTACGTTATTTGGTTTTGATGTGCTTATGTTATCCTCATTATGTTATTTCTAGTTAAAAGTTCCCTTTTTATCCCAGTACTATACCAAATATTATATTTACATTTTTTCAAAAATTCTAGATATTTCGTTATCAACTTCTCTAATATAAGGAATTATTATATTATTGTAACCTTCTGTAGTTCTTTTCAAATTTGGCCTATCTATTTCATATCTTCTAATCCATTTATTTATGAAGCCAACTGGATATTTTTGATTGTTTTAACTCTGCTCTAATTTTCTTTATATCTTTTTTATAAATATCTTGGTCTGTACATACCTGTTTGGCTCTTTTTACAAGAGATTTTATCACCTGCCTTTTGTGTAATATATGTAATATAGGATTGTTAGAATTAAAATTTAGATGTGTCCCACAGTCTGTTGGCTTTCTGTAAACGCTGGTTATAATAGATCCATCTTCTTTACGGCTTAATCCTACATCTAAGAATGGTAAAAATCCTTCTTTTTCTGTTTCAACAGTGAATTCTATTCTCCTATTTCAAAATTATTTAATTTGACAATGATCTCGTTAAGTTTTTCTTTTGGATCACTGCGAAAACATCATCTATATACCGTCCCCATATCTTTATTCCCTCTATTAAAATTTTTTTCTATCTATTGATGCCATTACAATGTCAGCTATGATCATACTGGTAGGGCAACCCATAGCAGTACCGTCTTTTTGTCTGTAAAATTTAGCCCCATATCTAAAATAAATATTTTCTAAACATAACCTAAACCCTTCTATCATTTCATCGATTTCTAATCCCTTGATTGCGCAATCTTGTCTTTTCACCTCGAAATATTCTTTTAGCTCTTTAAGAGCTAGACTTCTATTAATATTGGTAAAAAGCGATTTGACGTCAAAGGATACCATTATTTCATGTTCATTCAGCTTTAAATTATTTGTGAAATCTAATAACTCTTTCCTATTTCTAATTTTTAATCCAGAAATCTTTCTTGTAGTCGGAATTTGGGTTTTAAGCCAGTCCGCCAAACCTCTGGTGGGGGCCTTGAATCCTGACACAATGGGCCGTAGGGGAACTCCTTCCTTGTGGATCTTTGGAAGTCCTTTGAAGAGAGGTGCAGCGACATCTTCTAGCTTCAATTTTCTTTTGTCCAAGGCCTTAGATTCATATTTTTCATATAAATATGAATGCCGGCCAGGCAGCCTCTATATTTACGATAATAAATTCGATTAGTAAATACATTAATTCAGGAAAATAATTTAAGAAATATTATGAGAAAAAAGGAAATTCATAGGAATTGGTTTTAGTATACCCAAAATTTTATGGGGTGATTTTGATAGATGATTTATCTGTGGATTAAAAAAAAAAGGAAAACAGTCTTTGAACATCAAGAAGAACGTTCAACACATAGAAAATATGATGGAGTGCATCGTTTCACTACTCATTTTTAATTCTCATTCTCTCTTTCTCAAATTTATCCTGCATATTGGTTTTAAAAAGTTTCTCTAACATTGATAGAGATTGAGATTTTCATAATTATTTGAAAAATAACAAGTTGCTGAATATTCATTTGGAAATTTTGAAACAGTACTAAAGATACACAATATTTTATATTAATTTCAAAACTTGTTAATGGCAGTCGAATACACTAATATTTTAACTAGCCAAATGACCCGGGCTACGCTCGGGTTTTACCCGAGAAAATTTTCGAGCGAGTGCGTATGTAAATAAAGAAAAGGTTTTACTCAAATACTATTTATTACAATTAAAAATTATGTTAGCCAGCTTCTCACTAAAGATATTAAGTAAATGTTTTCTCTATGAATAATGCTTGAAATAAAATACTTCATGGTATTTAATACAAGCAAAAAAGCTCAAGCATTTTATAATATATAAATAAAATTCATATTTTTATAATAAAATTGGAAAATATCATAATTATAAAAGCTCTCTCTCTCTTTAAAATATTACTGTATAGCACGATTTCTGTTCCTCAGTTCATAGTATGTTTTTCTTGTGTATTAGGAAACCTTTGAAAAATAGCAATTTTACCTTCGGTTTTTGAGTCTAGGACATCTATTTATTTGAAAAATGCAAGAATGGCACAAGAAAAGGCCTAATAATGATGTGTGCTAATGCAATATATATATATATATATCTATCTATCTAATATTAACAACTTCCTATCGATCTAGGCGTCTGAAATTTTGCATATTTGCATTATCATTAGGATTGAGCGAGAAGCACAAACCTTCCTTCAGGGGGTACCAAATGTCATTTCCCAGCAAGATAACCCCCGAACTCACACAGCACGCATCAGCCAACATACCCTGTATGAAACCTCGGTGCTTCCATGGCCACCAGTCTCACCTGATCTCTCGATCGAGTCTGAGACCTAATTGGACGTCGCTTTCATGCTCTGCTACAGCCGCGTTCAGAAGATGCACTGTGGTTAATAGTTGACAGGGAATTAGCAGCCTTCCTCAGGACACCATCCGCACACTCATAGAGTCAGTACCAAGACGAGTTGCTGCCTTCATGGCCGCCCGCGGTGGTTCCACAACATATAGAGAGGACGGAGATGTCGCCCAGTGTATAGGTGTATTCTGTTCTAATAAAGATCATCTATTGTCCGTTATTGGTACTCTTTTTATGCAGATTTTCGCAACTTTTTGCACGCCAATTCTTGGTGTTTCTAATTCAGTGTCACATAGTGTATATTGTTATGTGAAGGGAAGGCAAGCCTAAATATGTAAAGACAATTTATTCAAACCATTTTAACAATTTACATTTTATAATCAAATGATAAAGAGACAAAAGAAGAAATATTCCGAAAAAAATAAAATCTCCAAATTTGATATTCTGTGTGCGTGTTTATTATATATATATATAAATATTCTTTTATATTATACACTCATGGACAATATTTAAAGAAGTAGAAATTCTTTGATATCGCCGGGTTTTTTTTAAGGAGACAGAGGCAATTTTGTGCACACTTGGTTATCTCGCGTGTCGTCAATAAAGGTCACTGTAATATCTTTCAGAGTTATTGTCTGAATCCCGATATACACGATAAAAGGTACAACTTCCTCAAGTTCTTTCCATGAGTGTATGTAAGAGACATGTTGACATTCATCTTGATCATTTGATAGCCTATATCAATCTTAGAGTACACACACAGGACTTTAGAGCGAAAGTATGGCAAACAGAACGTGTAGCGCCATCTGTCTATCACAAATGAAAGTTTATGTTTAATTAGTTTGATATAATTATGTTTTAATAAAATCATTCACATATATATTCTAATATAAGAGAAATAATTGCTATAAAAAGTGTGTATAGTGAAAATATTTAAAATATTTTAATGCATTAGCGCGCCATCTGTTATGAAAATTCGAAACAATTATAGACGCGTATGATCTTTTTAAAAATTAAACAATTTACTGCCCTTATTGCAATGGAAAAATTAATGGGAGGGCCTGGCTCATCAGTGGTGAACCCTTCCAGCGGTTTCGTGAGTTTAATCTATTATACCGCTGTTATTTTGCATTTTTCGATCATCCTTCTATAGTGATACTGATGCTAGACTCTTGGAATGGGTATTTTAGATAAAATAAGGACATAAGCTTTTTCTCTACAATTTCTTAATGATCTAAAAATTCACTTTGAAATTTTATCTCAATATTTGCCATTATATATCTTGTGCTCCTCCTTCATTATCAATAACAATCAACAATTCCAATGACCAGGGCTCTTAATGTTCATTTGCATCTTTTCTAATATTCTATACCTGACCCCATTGTTTATTTTTCCTTTCTAACTTTGCTCTTACCTTTTCCTTACCTTTGCTCTAACTCTTACCTTTCCGACTTCAATGGTCATTCACAGCCAACCGAATGTCTTCATCCTCTCCACCGTCCAGTCAGCCTCTCCTGAGATAGGTATGTCAGAAAATGATGTGAAACTTTCACTTATAGCAACTGGTCTGTGGCCGTTCTGGGGAGAAAGAGTTCTTCTTAATACCTTTGGACAAATTGGTGCCTTATGTCAATTAATAAATGTATATAATCTAGATGAATTGAGCATTTTCCTTTCATAATACTTTTTATACAGAAATGATGATTTTACTCAAAATATTCATCAAATTGTTGCAAAGTATTTATTATATGTAGAAATATTTCCAATTTTTATATTTATATTTACTAGACGAATGGCCCGGGCAACGCCCGGGTTTTACCCGAGTGCGTATATATTTTAGTAATGTTTTAATTAAAATACTATTCGTTACAATTATAAATTGGCGCCGTGGATGTCATTCTTGTATAATATATAAATGAGTTTTAAAAATTGTAAAAAAAAAAAAAAAAATGCATCGAATGCGGGAATCGAACCCGGGCCGCCCGCGTGGCAGGCGAGCATTCTACCACTGAACCACCGATGGTTATGAAAATTCCCATCCGTGAGCTTCAGACAAACAAACAGACAAACAAACAGACAGAATAAGGCAAATATATAAGTATATATTTTTCTACTCTGGAAACTTCTCTCATTGCTTATCTTGTATCTTATAAATGTTTATTTTGTTTTTAGCCTTAAATAAATTGCCGTGTTATCCTGAAGTTTGTCTCTGTTAGGATTTTTATAAGTTGTTTTTTCATAGATTAATTTATTTATATTTTGACCAGATGACCGGATGATTTTACATGTATATAATTGGTTTTAAATGATGTAAATAAGTTAGTTATGATAGGAAATTAAAAGTGTTGATTTTCTGAGAGGTGTTTGTGTTTACTCTGCTTGATTTTAGAATAGGGAAGAATTGGTTCCTAACAGGTTATGGGCCAGCAGAACGCTTCCACTGCGCCGTATAAAGTAATTAGAAGTTAAAGCTGAAGAAAGTAAAGTAGAAAAAGCTAAAGTTAAGGCTAAGAAGGTAAAGAAGAAAACTTGAAGATAAAGCTAAAGAAAAAAGGCTGAAGGCTAAAGAAGATAAGGCCAGGGAATACAGGGCTAAAGAAGACAATTTTAAGTAGTGCTAAAGAAGATAAAGCAACGAAGAAGAAGAAGAAAAGATTTGAGTTATAATTTTTTGTGAAATTTGCATAGTTAGAAAAAAATCAATGGCTGATGAATTGAGAATACCTAAACTAGACGGCAATAATTACTATTATTGGGCCATAAGAATCAAATCAATTTTGATTCAGAAGGACATATGGGATGCAATTGAGCCTGGCTTTCCTAATGAAACTTCAGAAAAACAGAAGCGGAAAGATAACTTGGCATTATCTATAATATTATTGTCAGTTGAAGATTCATTCTTAGATGATATCGGTGATTGTAAACGAGCGATTGATGCATGGCAGATACTGGAAGACATCCACACAAAGTATGGCTTACTGCATATATTACAGCTACTGAGAGAATTTTTTAACATTATCAAAAGAAATGACGAGGATATGAAAAAATATTTTGCGAGAATAATGGATTGTCATAGAAAATTGGCAAAGTGTCACCATGGATTTGGGGATGGCGAATTAGCGTTGATTATGCTATTGGGATTACCAAAAGTTACGAACCACTAATTCTCAGTTTGGAACAGCAGGAAGAGAAGCTATCATCTAGTGTGGTTGAATCCAAGTTACTTTTAGGAGAAAAACGACAGAAACAGCGTCAAATTCCTCAAGAAGATCCTAATTGCGCTTTTGCGGTAAGAAGAAAAGGGGATACATGCAAATCACCATGTCAAGAGCAAAATAAATTTGAATATGATCAACCAAGGAATTATCATAATACGTGGACGGAAGGGAAAAGGGAAAACTATAATTACTCCAGGCAGATAAGATGTTTCAGTTGTGGCAAATTAGGACACATAGCTAGGAATTGCAGATTTGCCAACTCCTCAAGGAGAACTAACGAAGGTATGCTGAAACAAAGTACGTTAGACCTAACTCATAAAGTCCTATTTGCGAATAACTTTAAAAACAATAACTCGCAGAATATCTGGTTTCTGGACAGTGGAGCTACTGAACACATGACGTCGAACAGACTGAAAATGACGAATACAAAAGTATTTCAACTTCTGTTGAAATGGCTAACAATGAGAAAATAAAAGTATCAGAGATGGGTGATGTTACCATCAAACTCGGTCACGAATATGGAGGCGAAACCTTGTTCTTGGAAAACGTTTTATACGTTCCTGAATTAGACGGAAATATTTTGTCTGTTGGAAGGATTGAGGAAAGAGGAAACAAGGTATTATTCCAGAATTGCAAGGCCTCTGTTTTTGGAAGTGATGGCGAATTAATTTTGAAATCTAATAGAAGAGGAAGAATCTATACAGTGGAAGAACTTAGTATAGCAAAAGTGAAGTCGCCTAGTGCAGATATCTGGCACAGAAGGCTGGGACACATTTACAAAAGGGATCTCCAAAATGTGAGTGACACAGCTGAGTGCGAAGTATGCCTTGAAGGTAAAATGCGAAGACTCCCATTTCCTTCCGGGCCTGTCGAAAGTAAGAAGACTTCATCACCTTTGGAGCTCATCCATTCGGATGTGGTGGGTCCCATTAGCCCAATGTCGAAGGGAGGGAACAATTATTTCGTGACGTTCATAGACGACTTCACTCATTATACTACAGTATATTTCATGAGGACTAAATCGGAGGTACTTGAAAGATTCAAGGAATATAAGAACAATGTTGAGAATTACCACAGCAGAAAAATCAAAGTACTAAGAAGTGATAATGGGACGGAATATGTTAACAAAGAATTTGATATATTCCTTAATGAAAGTGGCATCAAACGACAATTTACAGTTCCAGGAACACCTCAGCAAAATGGAACTGCGAAAAGAATGAATCAGACATTGCTGAACACAGCAAGATGCATTATACTTGAATCTGGAATTCCCAAATCATTTTGGGAAGATGCGGTTAATACAGCATGTTACTTGAGAAACAAATGTTCTAGCAAGGCAATAGGTAACAAAATACCAGAAGAAATGTGGACCGAACGGCCAGTGAAGATTGAACATATCCGAGTTTTCGGTTGTCAGACCTGGACATACAACGACCAGCGTCGATCCAAATTTGACTCAAGAAGCAGAGAATGTGTTCTAATTGGTTATCCGGAAGGAGTCAAGGGATACAAGGTTTGGGACTTCAGAAACAATAAGGTCTTTGTAACCAGAAACGTCAGATTTAGAGAAGACGTTTTCCCAACCAAGAAAAATGATAAACAAATTTCACATGAAACTGATTTTTTCCAGGTTTTACATAACAATTTTGAAGAAGACTATGAATCTGTAAATGAGGAAGAGACGAAATTTGTAGAAAGAAACCAGAAAGACGAAGAACTAAAGAAGGAAGATGAAGGGGAATACCAAAATGAAGCTGCAATCCCAAGAGGATATTCAGGGACTGATGAAGCAATATCGGTAGAGAAAAATCTGAATAACTTGAAACGGAAAGAAGATGAAGAGCAGGCCTATGAAGACGAAGCACTGAGGAGAGAAGACGAAGAGGAAGGCCAGAATGAAACTATAATCCCAAGAAGATCTTCAAGAATTGCGGCTTGGCGGAGGGAGTATTGCAGATTTTCTAACTAAGGGAATTGGAAGAATTAAACTGACCAGGATCTTGGCCACTCTAGGCCTCCGATGAGGGTATGAAAACAACTTTAAAATGGGGGTAATTGTTAGGATTTTTATAAGTTGTTTTTTCATAGATTAATTTATTTATATTTTGACCAGATGACCGGACGATTTTACATGTATATAATTGGTTTTAAATGATGTAAATAAGTTAGTTATGATAGGAAATTAAAAGTGTTGATTTTCTGAGAGGTGTTTGTGTTTACTCTGCTCGATTTTAGAATAGGGAAGAATTGGTTCCTAACAGTCTCTCCTAATTTTCTACGTTACAATATTTATAAACTGGAGCCAAATTAACATCAAAAATATATATCTTTTAAAGTATTGTGTTAATCCTGAAATACATTCTGCGTATCATTGGGTCAAATTCATCCAACTGCACTGTGTCAAAGAGAGAGTCTATCTTTTGGTATCTACAAAAATTAACGCGCTGGAGCAACTTATTGTAGAGCTGGTCTGTTTCATTCTGTAGAATATATATAAAAAATAATGAAGGCATATCCTGACCAAAAGCACATATGCTTTTTTATGGCAGAGCGCCATCTATATATATTGTAACATGGATGAAAAGGCCAAGATTCCAGAGTAAAGTTGGGGAAAGAGGAGTGGACTCTAGCTGCCATGTGTGAGACCCCAAAAACGGTATTTCAGCGTGAGGGGGGGGACAGTCTGGTCACATCTGCGGCATGTATAAGACGTGGGGAGTTGTCACCGGACGTGTGGATGGTCCTGCAAGGCGGTGCCAGGAGAGCCTGACTTCGGAGCGGCCTACAAGGCGATGTAGTCCAGGCTGGACGTGTATAGTGTGGAGCGGAAGGTTTCACAAGAGTGACATTCACGGCGCCATGGATTCTTCTGAAGGGGAGGTTGAAGGCAAGTCCCATGTTGTATTCCTTCTGTTCAGTTAGACATAATAAAGCGATAACTTTTGCTGCATCCTTTCGAACTGACATATGTATCTTTGTGGCATTCTGATTAGACAAAGAGCACGAACAGCGTACAGGTACGACGTAACAATTTTATCCCCCATGGCTGATGTGACTGATAAGCAAAAAAAAAAAAAAAATAGATCGGACCCTACGCTCATTTGAGGTGCATTTACGGTTGTATAGGAAACGAGGTAACTTGTTGAATAAAATGTAGAAGGTGGGCAATGGGCTATGGATATGTGCGATATAGGCGAGAGTTATCATATGAAAAAAGTCATTTGAAACGTTGTTCATGAATAGAGAGAGCTATGGTAAAATTTCAATTGAATGAAAATTTCAATAAGTAATTTTAATTAGTTATTTATTTAGGTCACCCATTAGGTTCCTGGAGTCACCACGTACAGAAGTCACCAACTACCCGGGCTATCCTTCTGACACTTAAGTCTTCTTGGTTTTATTTACAATGTCAGTGGAAGTCCAATTCATGAGGTGGCGCCAGGGAGATTTCTTTCTTGGCAGAAGTATTTTTAAACTATATAACAAACATATACACACAAAGCGTTATTAAGACCATCGGTCTTATACAGATTCACCGCAGGAAGAAAGGAAGCCTAGATGGAGCTCCTGTACTCCAGACAGCGCAGTACCCATCAACAGCCTTACAGGTCCGACACATGTCCAGTGGCCATATGTTCCATCGTGCATACGTCAAGATTAGCATATCACTGAACAGCCTAGTGTGGAATCAGCCGCGTCCTAGTCTTCGCATTCCTTATCCAAATGGACCACGACATTCATAACAAATATATACATATCAAATGAACCTCCTCCCTAATATATTTCTGTATGCAAAATAGGTGAC